GGAGCACAGAGGTGCTGGAGCAGCGTGGGGTGTCTGCCTCATGCTTTGCAGCGAGGGTTCCCCTGTTCTCCTTCCCCCTCCAGCCCAAGGTGGCTGATGGGGCAAGAGTGGGTCAGGGCTGGTGAGGGTGGTGGGGCTGAGCGGGCGCTGTGACCGTGGGGCATGTGGCGTGAGAAGGCGGTGAGCCAAGCACTGCCCCGTCTGCCCGCTCCACCCTCCCCGCAGCCGCCGAGCGTGCCCCCGGGGGTGCTCTATGATTGCCCTGGGGGGAAGCATCCCACCCCACGCCTGAGCAAGGTGCCCCGGGGTGGGTGGCATCGTCCCCCTGACGCCCCGCGTCCCGCCGGCAGTGGTGTATCTCTGCGGGCCGCCGGAGATGCTGCGGCAGATCATGCAGCTGGCGCAGCGGGAGAACCTCACCAACGGCGACTACGTCTTCTTCTACCTGGATGTCTTCGGGGAGAGCCTGCGGGGTGACTCTGCCCGCGACCCCTTCAAGCCCTGGCAGCAGAGCCCGGGCCAGGACTCGGGGCTGCGCGAGGCTTTCCAGGTGAGCTGTGCCCGCCTGCCTGGGGACGGGGACAGCGACCTCCCCAGCCTGGCCCCGGTGGATGAAGCAGGGTGCTGTGCTCGGTTGCAGATGGTGCTGGTGATCACCTACTACGAGCCCCAAAACCCTGAGTACCAGCACTTCCAAACCCAGCTCATCCTGCGAGCCAAGCAGAAATTTGGGGTGCAGCTCAACTACTCCCTGGTGAGCAAGTTGCCCTGCGTGATGGGGTGGTGGGGACCCTCCCCATGGGGCTGTGGCACCTCAGCAGGGTGCAGAGGGTGGGAGGCAGCCATGGGCAATGCTGGAGGGGCCATCCCTGGTGGCAACAGCCACGGGCGGTGCTGTCCCCACAGGTTGGGTGCATGGCCCTGATGTGGGGCTATGGGGCTGTGGGTGGGTGCATGGCTCCGGTGTGGGCTTTTTGTGGCCGGGGTACCCCCGTGGATGTGGCCGCAGGTGCACTGAGGTCCCTGCCGGCAGATGAACCTGGTGGCAGGGTGTTTCTATGATGGGATGCTGCTGTACGCCATGGTTCTGAACGAGACCCTGCGGGAGGGCGGCTCCAAGAAAAACGCCACCCACATCATTGAGAAGATGCGGGACCGCAAGTTCCAGGGTAAGGACAGGGTGGGGGCATCCGGGGTGGGGGTGCCATGGGGGGCAGTGGGACCTGGTCCCCATCCCACCTGGGTGTCTATTCTCCCGCAGGGGTGACAGGGCTGGTGAGCATGGACAGCAACAATGACCGGGACACTGACTTCAACCTATGGGCCATGGGCGACCCTGAGAGCGGGCAGTACGAGGTGGGGGCCGGCACCGGGATCCTGACAGCAGCTGGGGCTGGGGGATGGGACGCTGGGGGATGGGGGGGTGGGGGGGAGCTCAGCTCTCTCTGCCGTAGGTGGTGGGACACTACTCAGGTGTGGAGAAGCAGAGCCCC